CTATGAAAGTCACCACATTCCACGAGTGTGAAGAACTGCTACATTGATGCAACGGTCAAAGTTCAGTAACAATAACGGTGAGATTTAATGACGTGAACGATGTGCCAGAACTATCTACAATATATTCACAGAATAGGGGCTCATAAGAGTATGGAGCATTAGCACTGACTTGTTAGAGTGATGGCATCTTAATGAGTATGTTTTCTTCCTTTTGCTGCAAGCTCTGCACATTTTAGCATCAAGCCTGAAGAGTTTGATTTGACAGTCCTAATTACAATGGATGTCAACAAACTGGTGAAATCTGTAACTACAGTTACTTCAGTGTGAAGTTGATGCCTCGTTTGAAGGAAGTCTTCAGTTTACAACAGCTTATGCAAATTCAGTTTAAATATTGACACAGAAACACAATTAAACATGAAAGCGTGTCTAACCGAGTTTAAGCAAGAGAAAGTGGACTTTACTGCCTTTACTATGTGGGATTACAGTCTGCTAGCACAGATAGTTTCTAATGTACAGCAAATAAAATGATCTTGTAATGTTAATTACATGAATTGCTCATATGTACACACAGTTTCTAAGAAAAAAAGATGAATAAAATGGCCAGTTGGACATGTACTCTACTTGAAGTTTGACTTTTTTCTATCGCAACAATACAAATAACACATCTGTGTGAATAAAAGTGCAGCCACTGGCTGTCCGGTAACATGAGAGTGTAGTTGTTATCATGCTGTGTGGATGTTACATGAGAGACATAATTCAGTCATGTTCATCAACTGTTGCAAACCGATTGATTGATCCAGCATCAGACGGCTGGCTTCATCAGAGGAGTCTGAACTCATCAAGGTCATCAAAGGAGAGACATGATTGGTTCTGGTTTCAGTTATATTCCACAAACATCAGATGACTCTCTGTTTAGAAAAAAACAGAGCAGAGTGACATATTTCAATCAGCCAGTAGCCTCTAAATATTACATCTGGAAGGATTCAGGGAGGTGCAGAGAAAGTTCACAGAAATCTAAAACAGTATGATGTTGACAATGTCAAACAGCCTCACATGGTGTCTGTTTACTCAGTACAGTCCAGCATATGTGAGTCATCTCAGCTATTTAGGTGCCACATGCCAGCTCTCCTGATACACCTCGGAGCCTTTCACAGGCAGACCTGCTGACTGTGTTGCACACGTCGTCTCTGAAAGCACAGATTAGATATGGTTATTACTAAAACTACATGTGCTTTTGTTTTTGGCTGTTAAACTGACAAAACAAACGCTTTGCTTCAAGTGTTAATGTTTATTGTGCAAATTTACTTTCCCACGAGACACAGCTTTGCATTTTTAACTGGCCTTACCTTTGTTTATTTTCTTAGAAGAATTTCCTTCCATACTTAAATATTTGTATATTTAACTTACTGCATTAAAAGGAAAGTGTAACCAGTGCTGCTATGGTTCCATAACCCTCAGCCATTTAAAGGCTGTGTTCCTCTGCAGAGTGCACTTCCTGATTAGATACGATTCATATCAGAC